AAGGAACTGAAGCAGGTAATTAAATTGACTCATCTGCTTTCATCAAATTTGTAAAAGTACATAATAAAGTCAGTCAGAAACATGAATTTGGGGTATACACTGTTCCCTGGAAATTGCTGAAATTATATTGTTTATAAATATATGTGAGACAATTCATGCTGGCAGAATCCAGAGAACTTTGTGTTAGGCAAGTCCATTCATTTCAGCAATGTTGGCCCAGATGACAGTCGTTGAAGGTCTCTGCCTAGGTTTATATGATGAACTAGCCTATGCCACCCCAAACCAGTCATACTACAGGCGGAGTCTGGCACCTTTCACCACAATATTCCTCTAATGCTGGAAAAGCAGGAATGCTGTGACCAGGGCAGACAAACGGGGCATAGCACAGTGGTGTGCGTGTGGAAGGACATTTCTTTGAAGAGGAAGCATTCCACTGACTGGGTGGAGAGACTTGAAGTCCACATAACCCAGCAAATGGGCACCCTTCTGTAACCAACTGCACAGGCCAAGGGCACTACCTGGCCCTTAAGGCTCTGCTCTAGCTGGAGGGGCTGCACTGCCTACCTGGTGGTGGCCAATGCCTGCCCTCAGATGGAGCTGCTGAAAGGAGAGGGTGCCTTGCAGATCTCAGACTCTAGGAAAAGGACGCTTCTGCTGGGTTGGGGACTGGCAGCAGACCTGCCTGCAAAAGTTGTGCCCAGGCTGGGGGACTGTGGTTTCACCAGGGATACAGCCTGGAGTGCTCTGAGTATCAATGATGGATTACAGAGCTCTGGGAGTGGTGGCAAAGTAATCTGGAGTACAGGCACTTTTCTCCTCCATTCTCCCAAGGGTGGGAAAGGGACAATCAAATGTGGGGTACCAACAGTGCTAGAGGACTGGTGCCATAGCCAGGGCTCAGCCACTTATACCACGGCACCAGCTTTGAGAAAACTGGGCTGCTGAGGGCTGATGGGGAACATTTGTCAGAGAAGTGGAAGATCACCTTTGGTCGTAGGCTTGCCAAGCTGGTGAAGAGGGCTTTAAAGTAAAGTTGTGGCAGGAGAGGAACCTCAACCCACCCCATCAACATCAGTTTGATGTCAGTGCCAGCAAGAGATGCCCAGAGCTTGGAAAAGGATCACAGGTTGGGCAGGACAGCAGCACAAAGGAATTTCTGCCTCTTCAGTCAGAAAATAGTCTTCATCTAGAGCTCAGCTTATATGCCTGTATGCAAGTGCATGTAGTGTGGGAAATAAGAGTAGCTAGAGATGTGTGCTATGACCTTATTGGCATCACAAAGATGTGATGGGATGGCTCTTATGGCTGGACCATTGGAATGGAATGATACAGGCTCGTTAGGAAGGTCTGGCAGGGGAAACAAGGAGGGGACGTCATGCTCTATGTCAGTGACCAGCTGAATTCATAGAGCTCTGATTGCCCTTGGACAGATGAGAAGTTGACCAAGAGACACCAAGCTCTGGTGCAGTGCACATGCTGGAGGGAAGGAATGACATCCAGAGGAGCCTTGACAGACTGGACAGCTGGGCCCATGTGAATCTCATCAGGCTGAACAAGGCCAAGTGTGCACAGTCCTGCATCCAAGCTGGGTCAATCCCATGCACAAATACAGGCTGGGCAAAGAATGGATCAAGACTAGCCATGGGAAAGAAGGACTTGGTGGGAGTGGTGGATGAGAAGCTCAAATTGACCTGGCAACATGCAATCACAGCCCAGAAAGCCAACCACATCCTGGGCTGCATCACAAAGTGGTGACCAGCAGGTAAAGGGAGGGGATTTTTCTCCTTTGCTCTTGTGAGATCCCACTTAGCGTGCTGCATCCAGATCAGGGCTGAACACAGGCTGAGTTGTGGCTGTTCATCCTGGGGATGAGAAGGCTCTGGGGAGACCCTATAGCACCTTCCAGAACCTTATGGGAGCCTACAGAGAACTGCAGAGGCACTTTTTACAAGGGCATGGAGTGACGGGATAAGGAGGTATGGATTCAAACTGTAAGAAGGTAGGTTTCCATTAGATATTAGGAAGAAGTTCTTTACTGTGATAGTGGTGAGACACTGGAATAAGTTGCCCAGAGAATCTGTGGATACCCCATCCCTGGAAATGTTCAAGGCCAAGCTGGATGCAACCTTTGTGCTACCTGGTGCAATGAAAGGCATCCCTACTCATGGCAGAGGGTTAAACAAGATGATCTTTAACGTCCCTTCCAACCCAAACTATGTTATGATTCTATGAAATAACCGCCCTCCTGATTTTTGTTTCATTTTACTTTGAAATTTCACATTTCAGCTTCCTGGGTAGAATTTGTCTCTCCTCTTATGCAGGATTTACTTGAGCTGCCTTTTGTCAGTAAGTGTTACATAGTCCATATAAAATTTTATAAAATAAAACCAAATTTGAAGATGGATATGCCAACTGGCTTAATGGAATGCCAGGAAATGATCCAAAGATTTTTATTGAGTATTTTAAATTGTGGGAATATTTAACTAAAATAAAATATTAGCTGTGACAAAGGAGGAAGTAAGGAGCATAAAGGTTCATAAAGAATACTTTTAGCATCCTAAAACCAGGTCAAACAAATATATGGAAAGTGTAGAAGCAGATAAACAGCAAAGAGTGCACACAGTCTTTAATCATCTTGAACATTCTGAATTCTGAAAGAAAAAAAGTTTATTTGAGATATCAAAGTACAAACTTCAAATAAATGCTTCAAAACACTGGATTTTTAATATTGTTTTATTTTTTTAAGAAATACTCTCTCTCAACCTATTTTACCTATTTTCTTCTTAAAACACAGTGATACTCTTAAGGCCTAGAAGTTGCAGGGAAGGTACAATCAACCACCAAGTGTGGATAAAGATCAGTTGAGAGAATCTGCACAAGTTCCTATGAGCAAAATAAATCTAGTAGAGTATGAGTGGAAATTAATTTTTTGCCCCACGGGTCTTGTACTAGCCTGCACAGCTGTGTATATTACTCTGTTTCAATTCTCTATCCTCTAAGTAATTATATATATAAAAAATGACTCAATAGAAATTGTAGCTATTGGTAACTAAACTCATAAGAACTCATAGAATACATTAGTCTACTCTCAGCATTCAGAGCTCTGGGCTTAACTGCTTTTAAGAGTGATACCACAGAGGTCAACAGATGCAGAGTTGCGTTAATAAATTATTACTAAGATAATATATTTCATACATCATGTTTCCATCAGAAGCTGATGAGTCTAAATATTACACATTATTATTGAAGCATTCAAATAACATTGCTTAAAAAAAAAATACAATACAAAATATATTAAGGCAACTAGCATGCTTTGCTGAAAGAGAAACTATTTATAATAGCCAGGATTAGGAAAAAAACCCACAACAAATAAACCACAAAAATTTTCTTTCTTTTTCTCTTTTTTTTTTTTTTTTCTCTGCATTAAATATGTGCTAATCAGCAGTCCTAGCACTTTGGTCATTTTAGAAAACACATGGTTGACAGACAGGAGAAGAAAATTAAAGAAAAAGAAAGCAGTGTATCTGAAAGAATTTAAGAATTTTACATTTACATCTTCTAGGTACTGTCCATTTTCTTACTTTGCAGGCTGTTAATTCCATTATTGCTTTGAATTTTGCAGAACTGAACTTTATTCAGAAATACTGTAATTATTTCTCCATTCAATTCTTTTAATCAAAAGTATTAAACAGATTGATCTGCAAAATATGAACATGACAACCCAGATATTATGCATGTGGTCTCCATTAGCATAGCCTCTAGCAGAGAGTTAGAAATCTTATTTGGTAACTGAGACAATTAAATTCTACAGCTTTGTTTTGGACTTATAGCAATATGCTGGAGAAGGGTTTGAGATAAACTACTATATCTTAAAGGAAAAAAATTGATTTAACCACATAGATTTAAAATTCTTATATTTTGCATTCCTTTTTTTTTTTATTTTACCTGGAGCCCAATATTTTATTAACTATATGAAGGGGATCAGTTTTAGTTGTATCCCAAAGTCCCCACTGAGGAAGCAGGATTTACAGGTTCCTGCACCAAAACAGTACAAGATGGGATTTGAAAACCTACTTGCTATATGAAAATAGTTGCTGGCTAGCTATTGGGAAACAATGTCTAGCCAGAGACTAAAATGTCTGGTTCCTACCTGTTGCTTCTGCTATACTTTTTTTTGGTAGTCATGATTTCAGGAGGCTTAAGACACTGGATCCAACCGGTGAGATAGGCAGGAGAAAGTCTTGCTGAAAATGCCCCTAGGGTTAGGTGTGAGCCTGGGATTTCAGCGTCTCGCATAAGCAGGACATAAGCAGTCCTGACATGCCTGCTGGCAGGAACTCTGTGGACTTAAACATCACTGGGGCAACTACAGGGTAACAACAGATAAGTAGGGGGTTTAAGACTCTTAAAAGCAGATAAAAGCTGCTGAAAGAGAATCAAAATTAAAAACCCATATGTGGAAGGTAACTTTTAAAATGGGACTTAGGAGTTTTTAAAAATATCATCCTGATATTATATATAAACTAAATTTAAAAATACAGCATAAATGCAATTATATTTCTTCTGTTCTACATTATCATAAAAACTATTTTTAACAAATTAAATGCTCAAGTATAATATCTTTTACAGCAGCTTCATAGCAAGGAACTCCATCTGTATAAAGCTAATGTAACAGAGCAGAAAATCAAGCTCTTGGTCTAGTTTTCTCTAGTCTCTACTTCACGTTCCTAAAAAGTTAGGGAGATGTAGGAACAGACCCAAAGACCAAAGGATACGAAATCTCCAAACTTTTGGTCCAAGAAAGTCAGAATGCTCCCATTTCACCGAGTATCAACATTACAAAGTATAAACAGTCTGTCTTGATGTAGCAAAGTCAACAACTTTGCACCTTTTACCAGTTAACCCATTCTAGCACATAGCATTCTAGCACAAGTACACTATTAAGGACATAAATAGACACCCTTTACTTTGCTAAAGCAGTGCCACAGCTTTAATACCTTGAAGAGCTTAACTTTCAAGACAACAGGTTTACTAATTCTTATAAATATCCTCCAAAATAAAATTTTAAAAAATGCGTAACTGTTTTCAACTATGTTGACAACAGTACCATGTCCCCTGCAGTTATTTCAGAGTCCTGACTGTGTGTGGAGCTGATTCCAGTGTCAGAGTCTGTATCGTTTATGTCCAGATTAGTCAGTCTATGAACAAAGTCAGGAACAGCAATGCTGTTACTGGAGATGCCACTGCCCTTGGATGGCTCTTCATTTAAATGAAGCCTAGTTTCAATGTTGTCCTTAACATGTAGTAAATTAAATTCTTCTGTAAGAAGTTCATATTCTTTTTCCTTCTTTTGAAGCAGCGAGTCCCTGTATGTAAGTTCTTTCTGAATGCAGCTCAGGTATGAGTTGATTCTCAGACCATCTTTCATACTTTTTTCCAGCTCGTATTTTACACTTTCCAAATCTGAGGTTTCCAGTTCAGCATTAGCTGCTCCTTCTGTGCGAACAGACTCTCCATTTTTTTCCATGCATATACCATGTACTTCTCTTTCAATTTCAGCACACAGGTTCTCTATTAATTGTTTGTGGTGTTTCAGTCTCTCTTCAACCTGTAAAATTCCCTCACTTTTGCTCAAATAGTCATGCATCTCTTTTTGATCATCTGGCCTACTCCCCTGCTGCTCAGTCTCACTTGTATTGATCATTAAATACGAGTCCTGCACATAATTTTCTCCATCATTTGCCACACGATCTAGATGGAATTTTGCTTCACATTTTTCAATTTCCATATCTAGTTCCTTCATTCTAAGGACTTGTTGATGAATGGTATGATCTTGAGAAATGATCAGATGAATCAGTGTCTCCATATTATCTCTCTCTTGCTGAACACTGTCCTGCTTAAGCTTGGCCAGTTTCCGGAAAGTCTTCCTCACAATTTTCTTTTGCTTGTCTATTGGCAACATCTTCATGTAGTTTGCTGGACTGAGGTCCCACTGCTTTTCTACATTTTGTACTACCTTGGCTTCAGCTGTCTTCCACAATGGAAACGAGAGGAAAGCATCTGACTTTACCAATACAAAATGCAAATTAGCCTGCTCTTCCCCCCAGGCCTTCCAAAGTCTCAGAATCTTTGTCAAGGGAGGCAGTACTCGCTCCGAGCCTCTCCATTTTTCTACAATGCAGTAATCACTAGGTTTTCCAAAAAGGACCTTTTTCTCTCCAAATGTTGTCTGATGTTCCTCAAGCAGTGCTTGAATCACCTCTGAGCAAGTTGTGCGCTTTGTCAGGCCACATACAATCTTCTCCTCCTGGCAAACCCAAACCACAATCTCTCTTTCATTTGATGCCATGTCCTTGCTGGGAGATCTGGAAAGCAAGAAGAGACCAAGTATAAATTACATATCAATGGCAGAGACAGTATGAATAATTACTATAATTTTGATATGACTAACACATTGTAAAACTCCTGTATTGTTGTACAAGGCAATATACTTGCTTAAATTGCATGAAGAAATGTCTTTGGATTAAGTAATAGCTTTAATTGACTACTGCTTTAATATTATTACTAGTCCAGCTGAATGAGAATCTCACAAAATGTCTTTTATCAAATCTTGGTTTTGTATACCTAGTAAGAGTGCATTAAAGTTTGGCAAACTGCATTACACTTTCAAACTGACCTAGGACAGCATAGCTTTCAGACCTTCATATTTGTTCTCATTACAAAGACTGCCCAGACACTTCTAAGCTATTAGAAATGGCTTCTGAAGGGAAGAATGCATTCAACATAGATGGACTGAGGAAAGACTACTGAACACCACCAATGAATCTGACAAAGGATAAATCTATAGCTCTTCTGCCACACTTGCACCTACACAAGCATAAAAAAAATTCTTTTCCTTTTTTTTCACTAATAAGCGTCAAGAAATTTGTTGCTCTTCCTGAAGTACCAAATAGCCTGAATTCCAGTGAGTTGTGAGAGAATATCAGCTGCAAAAGAATACATACATTGGTCTGCATTTTATTTTGTTATTTGAAATTATACAGAAATGCAAGAAAAGGAAAAAAGTTATTTTATTTAGTTGTTTATTTACTTGTTTGTTTATGAATTACAATGAATGTGTTATTAACCTGGTACTTCCTTATACATTGAGATATCTAACTCCAGGTGTCTGAGATCCCATTATGGTTTCTGTAGCTCCAGTGCCTAGACAGCAATTCAGTTGACCAAAGGCTGAAGTTCACAGCTAATTCTTCGGTTTACCCCCATCTGGTCCTGGACTGCTGTGGGCCAGTGTTGGCAGAGTTGCCTGGATATTCCTGACCTCAAGACTCCACTTGAATAGTTTTCTTCTTGCCCAGACCTGATGATTTCACCTCTTGCATAAAATGATAAAACAGTAAATTCCCTGAGGAAAACATGTCTTTGGATTTTCTAGTGTGCCTTGCAGTTAATTTGAATGAATGAGGTTTCACCTAGTCTGACAGAGAAAGCCTGAAAAGGAAAATAACTATTCAGACGATATTCAAAGGGTGCAATAGAGCATGTTTCTATCTAGGACTACTTATCACAGAACTTTTTTTAGTCCTCCTTGTAGTAAGCATGGAGTTTTATTTGCCTTAATTACAGCTACACCCTATGATTAGTAAAGCAATCCAGCTTGTTCGTTTTTCCTAATTATTACACAACATGACAGACACACTGCAATCCAATAAATTGAACTCAGCTCTAGGTGCCACTCTGACCAGGAGGCAAAAATCCTTAAAAGAAAGGAAACTGCAAATGAATACTAATAAAACTGACAAGTGTAAGTTTATTAGTATTATTGCACAGGAGAGCTCTGTCCAAGTACATTGCTTCAGGTCTTGGAACATTCTCTGAAAATGTGTGTTTTGGTAGATGACTCTGAGTAATAGCATCATTTTCCCTCTCCAATAGCTCCCCCTCACAGATCAGCATTTTACAATAATTATTTTTTGAAACTGGTGCTCAAAAAGTTAATAATGTTTTCATAGGCTACTTCTCAAGATATGAAAGCACATATCACAGACACAGAAAATGGCAAAGTGGCACTAAGAAAGAGTAATATTCAAGTCTAAGAGGGGGGGGAAGGAATGGAGATGATATTAGATTAAATGGCATTACTGTGAAGTATGTCACACACTAAAAAATCAATATCTGTAAGTCCTAAGTCCTCTGAGATTTACAATTTGCAGGATGCTATATTTTTTCTGTTAACAGATTGGCAGTTAAGCAAAATGCAGGTAAATAGCCAGTTGCAACGTAAGTCAGCTGTGACTAAAAATAACTCATTATTTGCTTTACACTACAGATATGAAAAGAAAAAAAGCAACAAATAATTTATTATGCATAAAATTATGCAAAATTAATCATGAAAACTACAGTGCCTCAAGCCACGTTCACTACTGATGCCTAAATAATTGATTTACAAATTCAACTGTATTACTAGTCATTGAATTTAAATTTACAGAAGGACTGAAAATAAAAAGAAAAGAGGCATAAAAATATAAAAAACACCATACTGGGGACTCTGAGGCAGTAAATTCAGTCTGTATCTTTCCTGATTTCTTTTGTAATTAGGAAATACATTTCAGGAAATGAATGTTGTCTCTTCTAACATTCTTCTGAGTCTCTTAGGCAATTTGTTTTCAAATCAAAACTATTCCTATTTTTTTTTTCTTGCTTTTGTTTGATTGGCATATTTTCTCCTACTCAGTATTTTCAGTACGTAACTGATTATGTGGATTAAGCAGAAGCCTACTGTCTCTTCTGGCTCCTTTAAAGTTTTCTTATGAAGCCAGTTTCTCTCTGTGCTATTAGCAAATATTCAGATAAATCTGCAGACCCCCTAGACATCCCATCATTACTGTACTGATAAATTCTTCCACTTATACTTTCTTATACAGAATTCCCAGAGAGTTCAGCAGGAGTTAAACAAACTTCTGATGGAAACACTGTATATTGTAAAGCAATCTCCACAGGATCCCTGAAAACAATACGGATGTAGAAATAAGATCTTTAAATTACTGTTTTCAACACTTTTCTAGCTGTTTATCGCCCCCTGTAATTTTTTCAGTTATGATGCCCAGAGTTTACATTCAGCTTTCTTGGGGAAGGATTGTTCTTTATTTTGCCTATAAAATGTAACTTAGTTGCACAATTGGATAATGTATGCACATGCAGGTACACAAAGAAATCAAGTAGCTTATACATGAAAATAAGTACTTACAAATATATAAGTATATAATATATATACCTACATCTTTTAATTATGTGGTCATATTTTATATTTTACAGAAAAGGAGAGAAGAAATTAAAAGAATTTCTGAACATTTCTGTAATTCTTGGATCAAAGCAACATGGCAAAATATAAATTCTTTCCTTAATTCTTCTATGTGTTTGTCTCAATAGATATTATCTTAATTTTTATTCAGTCACTCCACTCAATTTTTGATCTTTACTTCTAAGCAAAAATAATTAGCCAGACATTTATAATCTTACGTTGCCATGGAATTCTAATATATTCTAAAATATCAAAAGTGGTTCTTTATTATCTTCCACTAAAAATGGTAAACTGGAATCTTACCATAGACCTTTCAAGTAAAATGTATTGTATAATTCTTTTTTCAGAGTTAAAATTCAGGTAGTTCCAAACAAAAATGAAATGTTGTTGTATCAATCACAGAATACCAATTACTAAAAACTTGCTTTCAGTATGCAAGAAGATGCCAGTACCAGGAAATATCTTTTGTTAAACTGCACATTCCTCATAGAAAGTGAAGAGCCGATTCTGCATTCATGAAGTGGAATTCATCTGAAAGTTAATATTTCAGTATAAATTCAACATCAAAATTCCTCTTCATTAAGAGAAGAGAGAAGACTTCCAAGAAGAATCCCTACTGCCTAGCCCATCTTTGATCGTTGGGGACGATCATCAGAGGAAACTATTTCTCTCTTTCATTAACTACAAGAGACTTATGTGGCCACCTTCAATCAAATAGCTCACTTTCAGGTAGTTGAAATCAGGTGAGATTAACCCAATCAGATTCATTCAGGTGAGATTAATTCAGATTCTGGTTTATCTGAGAGAAATGTTACAAAAATGGTTACAGCAGCAGTTGATTTAGTACAGACAACTAAATGTGGGACCTACACATCATAATTTCACAACTTAGTTTAGACCTTCACTGTTCAATTTAGCCAGTAATATATAAGGAAATCCATTAATTCATTTCAATACTAAGAAAGAGATCTTGAATAAATTTTGGTCATTGACAGGAATTCTTTTTTTTTTTTCTGAGATTCAATACTAAAAGTTTTAATCTTCAGGAACAAGATCTGCTTTTAAACAGTCATTTTAACTGAGAGGCAACCTTCTCATATTTACAGGTTCCTTGAATTTCCTGTCCTGCAGTTTTGTAAAGGACACAAAAGAACTAGCATTTTTAATAACCTAGCAGTTAATAGGAATGTAACAGCCAAAGTGTTTTTCCAGTTTAAATGTTTGGCTTTCCTGACGACCACAATAACAATTTCTTCAAAACTAGCTAGGCAACTTATATTTTTTCAAAAATATAATGCTGCAGTAAACAGGCTTCGTAGCTTTCAGCTCTGTTTTGAAGTCTGTTTCTTTGAATTGATCACTGAAGTGTTCTGCTTATACATCTAAGATTATAAAGTCTTGATGATAACAACATGCAAGTCTATATTTTATTTTACAAAGCCACTAATTACTTAGGACCCGATGGGAATTTAAACTTAATAATGGTCAAAACTACATTTCCCATGTTTTTGTTTGCTTGGTTTGATTACTATTTTCATGCCTTCTGCTCCTTGTTTCTCTTCAAGATGACCCAAAGCCCCATCCCAAATCACGCTCTAGACCTCACACAGTCTTAATTACACCAGCACAACCTGAGTGTTATGTGTCAGATATATAATTTGTTAATTTATTCTTCAGGCCTAGGGGAAGGTAATACATTCCAGCAACCTATAGACAAAACAAAAACATTTACTTATGTCACACAAAGTCAAAATATGAGATAGCTTAAATGCTGGAAGGGGCACTTTTGATATTCACTGACTTTAAGGTATGTCTGGCCCAAAAATATAAATATCAAACATAATTGTTTGCCTTCCTGAAACTGTCTCCCTAAATATGTAATATATCAGTTTTACAACCAATCATACCAATCAAATAAAGGGATCCCCCTACTTTTTATAGTTTCACCTTCATGTGTACAAGATGCTTTTTTTTCTAGTCAAATTTCTGCAAACATTCTATTGGAACTAGATCACTTCTGTATCATATGGTTAGCAACTTAATGCAGTGTTTCTGAAATATAAT